ATGAGAGGGCACAGGCCAGGCTGGGGAACCCCCACCCCCACCCCTCCGAGTGCATGAATTTCATGCACCAGGCCTCTAGTATAAAATAACCTATTACTTTCCCCCTCCTTCTGTCTTTTCCCCAGAGACCTTCCTCCAGAGTTCCCTGGACTTTGTTCTTTCTGGAATGGCTGCTCCCGGGGCCACTGTCATCTGTGGTCTTGCCTTAGCTTCTTTCCTGAGTTAGACCTATTTCTGAACATCTTATTCTTTTTCTTTCTTGCTGTATGCTCTCATTTTACTGAAGCACAACTTCCTGTGAAAGGAGTATGTGGAAAGTAAATTGTTGAGGCCCTGCATGTGTGAAAATGTCTTATGTAACTCTCATACTTGGTTAACACTTTGGCTGTGTATGGAATTTGAGGTTGAAAGTCATTTTCCTTAGAATTTTTAAGGCATTGCTCAGCTGTCCTCTGGTATCTGCTATTGCTATTGAGATGTCTAATCCCATTTAGATTTTCATTCCTTAAATGACTATATAATTTATTGTCAAAACTAGGACACTTAAGGTGCTTGCCTTGAAAGAATACTAGGATAACAGCATAACCGGGACTCTCCGGGGTAAACTGGGACATGCGGTCACCCTCTTTAATATGTGACCTGTTTTTCTCTAGTCATTTAGGATCTTCTCTTTGCTTCTTGTGTTCCACATTTCATGATGATATGTCTTGGGAAAATCTTTTTTCATTCATTGTACTAGATCTTTGTAGGTTCATTCCTGTCCTTCGATTTTGGGAAATTTTCATTGTTTCTTAAATAATGTTCTCCCAGCCTTTGTTAGTCAGATGTTTGACATTCTGGATTGTCTTCCAGATTTTTTTTTCTCACAAATAAGCAAGGGGATATTATTTTTTCACCTCTTGGTTTTGTATCTGAAAGATTTTTGTATATTTACCTTCCAGTCATTCTATTGAAATTGAATTTTTTCTGTTTGTGTTTAATTTCTTGTTTTACTTTTTTTCTCAGCATCCTGTTCTTATGGAAGTGTATTCCCCCGCGCCCCCCCCTCCCCCCCGCCCCGTTGCTTTCTTGAGTCCCTTTTTTTTCTGTTTGTTTTGGTCTATGTCTGAGGCTTTCTTCAGATGCTGATGATCCTTACCTGTCTCTTCATATTTAAGAGGAAGGCATTCAAAAGTATCTCTGAAAACTGACCATAGCTTTTTTGGCTTCTTTATAATTGTGCTGTGAACTCACCTCTTTTGACTGGAATATTCTCAAATGTCAGAACTAGGACATTTTATTTTCTGGGGAGGGAGAACATGGATCAGCCCTGCAGTCTCTCCAGAAAAGACTCCTCCTCTGTTCTGCTGCCTAGATGGTTTAATGTGTGGGTGCTAGCATTCTGTGCCTAGGGTATGGGAAGGAAGCTGAAGGGCCCAGAGAGAAGCACAGTGTCTTTCCCTTATGCCTCATCCCAGCCTTCAGTGCCTCCTATTTCTCTGTCTGGCGCTTCTGTGGCTCAATTTTTCCAGAGAATCAAACTTCCTTACCCCGCCCCCTTCACCCCCCACCCTCTCCAGTGAGAGGAAGTGGTGAGGGGGTAATGGAGAGGACCCAGTAGTTCTGCCCCCTCCCCTTCTCCACCTTTCATGGTAACTGCCACTCCAAGAGCTCATCTTCCCAAGGCTTCTGTGGGTCTAATTAGCTCCACCCCCACCTTATTCCCTCTGGGCACTTGAGTGATAACTTCCTTTTACTCCTCCATCTCCTGACTGTCTTTGAAAAATTTATGAAAATCTGCTCTCATTAGCTCTTCCTTTCTCTTCTTTCTTGTGGGTTAATACATTTATTTTATTCCTCTACTGTCTTTTAGAGGCTTGAGAAGGGAGAAGAAATAAACTAATGTGTTCAATCTGCCATTTTTAACTGATTCTGGCATACATTTTTCTAGGGAAAGTATTATAAATGCTGATTAGATGCTGCATAGTACTAGCAATGCTATTCCTCATGTATGTTGTTATGGGTTAAATAGGCTTCTGTGGGCTGACCTGGAAACCTAACACTATCTATGATTTTCCCCTAGAACTCGAGAAACAATCCAGCTTTTCTGAGTTGACTCTCTGGAGGAATTATAACAGGCTAGAACAAAAATATTTCACACATCGCTCCATTTCCCGATTCACATAGAAAATTACAAATATTGTGTCATCGTCAAAATTAAAAGCTCCAATAACTGTAACCAAAACCTGAATTTTAATGGAAAAGTTTGTTCATAAAGTTCAGCTTATAAAAATTGAACTGAGAAGCAAAATTGAATTCTTCAGCAATATCCCTAAAGCTTCATTTTTTTTCTGCAACTTTTCTGAAAGCAGTTTTCCTAATTAAATTTAAACCCAGTGATAGTGATAGCTGTGGGAAATAGTAATAGCCATGGGAATAGTTTACTTGTATTTTCTTGCTACCTTTTTATTACTACTATACACACAACAGGATCTTTTGAAATATTGGATTGAATAAACTAGACAGCCAGATAGACCAAGAAAACCATCTTCCTAATCACGAATGACTGCGAATAGCCATGCAAGGCACTTGGGTGGTGTAAATGCAAACCAGCATATGTAAAGTACCCAGAGTGCTGGAAAGTAAACACTGCACCAACCTGGTGTTTGGATTGCAGAGGCCACTGCAAGTGTAATGGATCCACTGCAGTTGTGCGGCTCCTATTTTCAGCCTCCGGGAAGGACATATGGGGCTTTCTTCTGGAGGATCACCCCTTTTGTGCTGGGGCAGCCTTCCATGAGCACTTGCTCCCAGTGGCCATGACAGCCCCAGTCTCAAGGGATCAGAGCTGATTAGGAAAACCAGGAACGGTTGTAATTTCTTATGTGGCTGGAACAAGGTAAGGGCAGAGATGCAGTCATTCCATTTCTGTTTTATTTTTCTCTCTCTCTTCTTCTTCTTCATCTAAAAAAAAAAATTTTTTTTTATTACTAACCTCTCCCTCTTTTCCCTCCCAACCTTGCTTTTGACAGCATATTGACTAGGGACCAGAAGCCCATTTTTGCTTAGCCTTAAGGGCAGCTGTTTACAGAGTAGCAGTGTTACAGAGGTTTACTGTGTCGTATGTCTGTGTAACACTGGATTTGGATCTTGTATTTAGCTGCCAGAAGTGACTGTGATGAAGTAGGAGAGATAAACTGATAGATTGGCTGCCAGAAAGGTGTTGGGAATCAATCAGATAAACAGGGTAGAGAAATAGCTTGCTGTTTTCTAGTGATAATAAACCAGTGGCCTCTGGTCCCCGCATTTTAAACATAATTGCTATAGTAATAGTGCCTAAAATAAGCAAATGAGAAAACATCACAGGCAGTTCTTTAATTGCAATTGAGATATCCTTTTCCCTTTTACAATAAAGATTCATCTTATATGGAAATTAATATTTTTATAAATTTGTTTTATTTCTTCCAGTGCCTACTTACACAAATGAAAATGAGAGCATGAACTACTTTCATAGGAGTTTATTCCTCCTTCTCTATCCTCCCACAGTCTTCAGTTATTTAACTTGGTGAAATATCTGTATTGCTGCCATGCCTTACCTATTAAGCAATTACTTATTATTGTGAAGAAACAAGTTTTATAGTCAAACTAGTATTATTGACAGATGATTAGCAAGAACTAGTTTATTTTGGTGTCTCCCCTTAGATTTCTCTTAGAAGATTTTTGGAATTTTAATCTCTGTTCCCATTCCCCTGCATACTTACAGCACTTATATAGGAGAGATGATATGCAGTTTTATTATTGTAATTTAAAATTCTCCTCTTTTAATATTTACCTTTTAAATCCATTGCTTCTCTTTACCTAGGACTTTTAAGACCCAGTGCAAATGGTCAGGTCTATGTGAAAGATACAGATTTATACTCTGATTGCATGCAGTGGACTACCCAGGATTAAGAGGAGAGTAGAAGAGTAGGATAGAGTTCCTATGGAGTTAATTGTATAGGATGAGAGACTGGTTTTCTGTGTTGTATTTGTAATGCGCACATGTTTTTTTTTAGGTTCTCTCTTAAAATTATTGTGGCTGTGAATGTGTTGGTGTCATATATGGTTAAATCACTTAATAGTTAGCAGGGTAGAGTACTAGCTATGGAAAGCAAGAGAATGAAGTCCACACCTTTAATTATCCTATATAATAAAAGGCTAATATGCAAATTGTCCCCTCAACCAGGAGTTTGACCAGGGGGCACGGCCCTGCCCTGATAGTCCCCCCACCCTGATTGGGGGCGGGGCTGGCCTGCCAATCACCCACAGCCCCTCCCCCTGGCTAGCCCCTCCCCCGATCACCCCTCCACCCTGATCGGGGGCGGGGCAGGCCTGCCAACTTCCCCGTCCTCTCCCTCTGGCTGGCCCAGCCCGATCAGCCCCGATCAGCCCCGGGGCCGGCCGGCTCCGTCCTCTCCCTCTGGCTGGCCCAGCCCGATCAGCCCGGGGGCCAGCCGGCCAGATCGTACCGGTGCATGAATTCATGCACCGGGCCTCTAGTATATAATAAAGGCTTTTGCCTGAGGAAGACCTTCCTGACTGCTGGAGATTATAGGTCAGAAGTTAACTATGTACCATGATCCTGTTCGTGAGAAGCTGATGCATCTTCCTTTTTGCCACATAGCCCTTCCCACCTGACCTTTTAAAGATTCTCCATTGATATCAATGAGGTGGACAAAACTAATCATAAAAACAATGAAGGGGATGTTGCAGATTCATTGATCCATTTGAAATGAACTGCAGTACAATAAGTCTTCCAAATGGACTTCTGTTCTCAGTTACTGCTCTAGCCACCTTTTTAAGGATATATAAATATGAAAGGGTTAATGGGAATTCAGCCATGCTCTTGCCATTGGGTTGTCCCTTATTTATTGTAGTTTTAGAGATGTTGCTATGCCATTCAAAACTCCTACAGTGTCCTTTTAAAGTTAGTTGGTGCTGGGAGATAATAAATAAACCAGTTGCTTTATTTTTCCCCCTAGCTCCTTCGAGAACTCATAGAACGGAAGACCAGCTCATTGGATCCCAATGATCAGGTGGCCATGGGAAGGTAATTTAGATATGGCTATCTATTTATGCAAGCAGCCTACATAATAGTTTCTCCCTTTGATTTCCTTTAATTCTGCCTCCAAGGTAATGATTGGCCCTATGATTATAGAAGTTGAGTAAGATTATAAGAGCTAGAAAGACAAAGTGATGGAAACCCTAATTGTTTACCCTACATTCCCTTAGGTGCAGTTGGAATAAGAGATTATAAATACATGTTTGTTCTAGGGTTTTTCAAAATCCTTCTTATGCTCTATGCTCTCTGATTTGGATTGTGACAGTATCTGTATCAATCTTTGACCAGTGAATAAAAAGAAACCCCAAATGTGTGCTCTCAGCTGTCAGATGTGGCACTGCCTACAACAGGTTCCTTGGTCGTAGTTGAATCTGCTTTGTTAGAGTCTGCCCTAATTTAGACCTCCACCCCTCAGTAAAAGCTTCAGCACAATTAGAAATGGAACGTGGCAGCATTACCCAGATGTCAGGGGAGAATGCAAAGTAGTGAAGGAAGGCTCTTGTGTGTATGCTTCATCCTGTGGTTGGAAATAAAAAGGGCATTTAGAGTGCTACCTAATGAATAGTGTACATTTAAATAGCCATGAGCCATAATTTGCAAAAGCCTGAAAGGAAACAAAAGCTGCAAGTGCCAGAGTAGATTCTTTGCAGAGAAACATTTGGAGAATGCAAAGAAAAATTTGTGTTGACGAAATAATTTTGAGTAAAACATTATTTGAATTTTAGGATAGGATGTTGTTGGTATTTTGTGTCTCCCTGGAATGTTATAGAGAGCTGTTCACTATAAATTTAATGTGATAGCGTAAATTGTATTTAAGTGGTGATTATATTGTACATTTATCTCACTTTACAATAAAATAGATTATGGTAATTAAGATTATATTAAGATTACAGTAATTGGATTTCCCTATTTTTTTTCCCCCTGATGTTGAATTTTCATTGTATAAATCAGGTAAGATGACGAGCTTCTACTGTTTCTCCTTCTTCATTTTTCCCCATTTGTTCATATGAGCAATTTATGAAGATTTTTTTAGCCCAGTATCTTTTATTTGAAAAATTAATTCCTTTTCATCTAAAATGATTGTAGAAAATGTAAATCTTGTTTGGATCCTGACTCAAAAAAACTAACTGTAAAATTGAGACAATCTGGAACATTTGAAGACTGACTGAATATTTGATAGTAAGGAATTATTGTTAACTGTTTTTAGGTGTGACAGTGGTATTGAGATTATACTGGGGAGAGGGGAGGAGAGCCCTTACCTTTTAGCAACACTTTCTGAAATATCACAGATTAAATAAAAAATAGTAAAGTTACTGTAAAGCTGGTATCAGTAATGGATAATTATTTTAAAAATTAGCAAAAAATGGAAAGCACAAGAAAAAGCAGTTGTGTATTAACAAAGGCAAAATTAGATTTAAAGAATTCATGTGTTTAAACCACACAGGATTTGCAATATTAGTAATAGAACTTGCTGCACAACTAAAACATTAAAAGCAAACCCAAGCAGCTGTACTCAATTTGATGGGTTTTTTCTACAGACTGGTAGATTTATTTAGTGCTTGTCACAGCAGCTCCAAATACTAAGGAGCATTGTTAACCAAATTTGCTGTAGAATTTCCCAGCTGCCATTTGTTTTTTTACCATTGCACAAATCTTCTTCAATTGATTAGTCACTTTGGCCCCAGACTATCTTGAGGAACTTCATGTAGGTTGATGATTTCTTTCTGCAGGGTTGTTAGTGGGAAAAATTCCAATTTGTCAATACGTATAACTATTTCTGTTAGTGATGATGCATAACATTGCTTGTGAATTTCCCAGGCAGTGGCTTGCAATCCAGAAGTTACGAAGCAAAATCCACAAGAAAGTAGATAGGAAAGCCAGCAAAGGACGGAAACTTCGGTGAGTTACTTTTCAGAAAAAATTTGAACATATTATGTTAATATCTCTCTTCTCTTGCATTTTGCCTATTATGTCATTTTACTATTTCTTCTGGTGATTCTGTTTTTAAGGATCAGAAAAATAACTGAAACAATATTTGAGACTTTTTCTGACCCAGTTTTCCTTACTCTAAAATGGAAATAATGGTCTTAGGGTTTTTTTGTTCTACTCTTGTAAATGGGTAGGTTATGTAATATCTGCATTTCTCTGAAGGAGAAATAAGTAAACAAGGCAAGATAGTTAAATGTCTTAGTTTAAAAAAGTGATTTCTGTAGAATGCTATAAAATTTTTGTTTTGGAGTCTTATTTAGAATAGGATTATATTGGTTCATTTCATGATGCTATACATGTACACACTATGCTAAAAAGTTATAACTAAAGATTCCAGAGAATGTTAACAATGTGCTTAAATGAGATGAGAAGTATAATTTTTATGAGAAAACCAAGAAATTTCTGACTATAGGAAAACTCTCAACCCCTTGATTTCTTTAAGGTGTCTTATAAATATGCAGAGAAAAAAAGGAATGAGAATAGGAGTGTTTTAAATCTATGCTTTTAGATTTAGATTCCTTGTAACTATATGTATTACATTGTATCATTCATACAAAGCTTCCATGACAAAGAAACTACCTGTAATTCAGGTGCATATTGAACAAAATTCTTAAACTCATTGTGTTAGGATAGTTTTAGGCAGGTGGCTAATCCCACATCCTTATTAGAGCCTGCCTATCATTAAATTCCCTTTGGACAAATGTGGATCTCTCTCATTTTTAAATACCTTCAGAGACGCAGATTTCACAACTACTTTAATGAACCTGTTTGAGTGTTTAACAGAACTTCTCAGGAAATGCTTATTTTTCGATAGCTTTGCAGAAATTACCTTTTTTCATGTGTTGAAATTTCCAAATCTTCATAGTTCCCCAGGTTCGTTTTTAGAGTAGTGGTTAAGAGCATGTACTCGAGAGTCAAACTGCCAGAATTTAAATCCCAACTTTGACATTGACTAGTAGTTACTTTGGGCAAAACCTTAAACTCTCTGTGCTAGTGCCTTCATCTGTAAAATGGGGGTGATAGTAGTACTGGATTGTAGGATTGCTATGAGGATTAAGAGAGTAAGTATATTTGCTACTCTTAGAACAGTGTCAGGTACATAGTATAAATATTTGTTGCCATTATTACCATCATTGTTATTGCTATTATTACTCCAAGATTGGGTCTGTCTCCTGCTCTAGTGTTCATTTACTTGCTGGTTCACATGCATGCGTCTTTTGTACATGTCTTTTCTATACACGCCACCCCTGTACGGACTTGAAAAAGAAAGTTACTAATAGTACTGTATAATTGGCCAAGCTTACTCTTTAATTTTGAGATCAGATTTTCCTCTAGTATTGTGCTTTAAAAATTATAGCTATATGAGACAATACATGTTCTCTAGAGAGAAAAGCCCAAGATTTCAAATTAGAAGACTTGGGTTCAAATCCTGGCTCTGTCTGGCTATATAATTTTGCTTGTTCTTTATTCTCTGTGCCTCACTTTCTCACTTATTAAGTGGAGATAATAATCCCTACTTTAAAGATTTGATTTGACATTACTTTGGTTGTAAGCTTTCCCCAACTCCATCAGGTATTCCCTTATTCTCCTCTCTGTTGTCTCATAATACCTTATAGTGTATTAAATGCCTAGTTTGTGGGCGGATCTGTTTTCCCCATTGCACCATGAGCTTAAATATAAAGGCCATGTCCATATTAATTAAAATTTTTTAGGTTGCAAATAAAGGAAACCTATTTAAACTAAAACAAAAAACAACAAGATTTGGTTTGAGGATTAAAATAATGTATAAATGTCTGGTACATAGTAAACATTCGAAAGTGTTAGTTTTTTTTTTTTGTTTCTCTTGTGTGTATCTATTGGCATTACTGTTGCAAATATATGCTCTTCAAAAGAATTGAGAGAGGAAAATAATGCCTTTCCTACATATTTTACTGTTATAAATTTTAAAACTATTGGGGCAAGTAGCTATAGTTGTGTGCCTCTTGAGAGCAAGAATTATGCTGCTTTATCCTTTAAGACAATTCCAACCTTATTATCTGCTATAGTGCCTTATAGACATTAGTCAGCCAGAAAATGTTTTTGGATGATTATGACAGTAAAATGAACATGCTCATCAGGTAATGAGAAATGGTAGGAAGTCTAAACATAACACAGATTAAGAAACCTGGATGAGTGTTGGAGAAGTGAGCATGGCAAACACCTCAGGAGAACTATGGGTCTGTTGTTTTCCAAATCAAAATAAATTTATCGCCCTAGCTGGTTTGGCTCAATGGATAGAGTGTTGGCCTGCGGACTGAAGGGTTCTGGGTTCGATTCCAGCCAAGGGCATATGCCCGGGTTGCGGGCTCGGTCCCAAGTGGGGGGCGTGCAGGAGGCAGCCAATCAATGATTCCCTCTCATCATTGATATTTCTGTCTCTCTCTCCCTCTCCCTTCTTCTCTGAAATCAATAAAAAAAAAGAAATATATTTTAAAAAATGAATTTATCAGAGTTGTTATTTATTAGGTTAAAAATTTTAGAAAAAAAAAGCGTTTTGTTTTAATAGCAACTGCTTTTCTTATATTTATTAAACCTCATTAAACTGTTCATCAGAGGTATGTGTTACTAATATATTTCTGTGTTTGTAGCATTTTGATAGTGATTGAGATTATAAATCTCCATAAATCCAGAGGCATTTGACATCTTATTCTGACAACAGGCAAGCAGGAGATAGACATTCTGCTCAAACAGGACTAATCATAAAAAGATAAGGAGGGATTTTTTAAAAGATAAGAAGGGTTTCTTCTGAAGTTCTAGGAGCCATATTAGGAGCTGGATAAGACCCATTCTGCCCTCGAGGGGCATGTAGTCCGGAGACATGGCAGACAATTAGCCAATAAGTGATGCTGTGTGGGAAGTGCTATGGTAGAGATCATCCTGGTACAGGGATTACCTGACTCACTCTGGGGGAACGCAGACTGCTCAGGGAGACTTCCTGTAAGGTTCAGCATCCACACTTCACACTGAGCAGTCTAGGAACAGTTAGCCAGTGAAAGGCCAAAAAGAACGTTTGCAAAAATGTGTCTTGAGAGTATACATGGCCATGTGGGGAACTGCAATTACTTTGTTTTGGGAGAGACCTAAAGTGAATGTGGAGTAAGAAATGAGGCTGTATGAGTAGTGAGTGCTTGATCATAGCCAGTTGAAGAAACTTGGACTTGATTCTGTAGACTATAGTGCGTCATTTAGGACTTTGGGCAGAGGGATGTTATCACATTTCAGTTGCATTTTAGAAAGATGAAAGGAGATGAAAGAAAGTGAGAAGGTTAGAGTTGACTCTCAAGAGTTTTCAGAGGGAAGCTGGAAGAGGAAATCGATTTTTTGTCTTTGAGGGAGGGAGTAGATTCAGTTTTTTAATATGCTGAATTTAACACAACCTTGAGAAATCCAGGTGCAATGTGGGGTCCCTAGATTGGATCCTAGAAAAGAGAAAGGACATTGGAGTAAACATGGGTGAAATTTGAGTAAGGTATGTAATTTAGTTGATAGTATTATACCAGTGTTAATTTCCTGATTTTGACAATTACACTATGTTTAGGTAAATTATTAACATTAGAGGAAGTTGGGTGAAGTTAAACATGAATCTCTACTATATGTTTGCAGCTTTTCTATAAGTCTAAAATTATTGCAAAATGAAAAGTAAAAAGAAAAGTAATGAATGTGGTCATGTGTTTTGGTTTTTCAGTTTTGTCATCTGTGTTCACCTGGCTCTCAACCATAAACGTGAGGGATATGGTCAGAATCAGAGAATGATCTTTACTAATAGTATTAGTGATAACTAACATTTATGAAACTCTCACTGTTGGGCCCTGCAGAGATAGAAAAAGCACAGGCTGTGATGCTAAACTGTCTAGGTTTGAAATCTGACTCTTCCACTCACTGGCCTTGAGACCTGGGGCACGTAACTTTATATCTCTGAGCTGCAATTTCCTCATCTATGAGGAATGAAAAGTCACATCTCATAGGTTGTTGTGCAGATTAAATTAGCTAATTCATGTAAAATGGTCAAAGAAAACAACTTACCCAGCATTACAGAGCTAGTTCGTAGCAAACAGGGATTTGAGCTAATTGGTCTGATTCCAGAGCCCATGCATATAACCTCTGGATGTTGAATTGTTTCTCTGGCAGGACCAAGTGGCCACAGCAGGCACCAGAATGACAGCTGGGCTACATTAGCATTCTGCCCTAAAAGATTAAACCAAGTGGCCCAAGCTAGATGAGAATATTATGAATACTTACTTAAATTAGACCTCAACTAGCTATCATCATTGATACTAGGTTCTACCATTGAGCAAGTTTTGTGCTTTGTTTGTGATAGGGTTGCAAAGATAAGATTTCCCGAAATGTTATAACAACAATGAACATTACCCTGTGGAAATATTAGTTGAAATGTAGCAGGTCAGTGGCATCAGCTTGGTCAGACTGGGCATGGCACCTTGCTGGTTGGATACTGGAAAATAATTTACAAAAAAGAAGAATATTTTGGTCTGGCCGGAGTGGCTCAGTTGGTTGAGCATCGTCCTGTGCGGCAAAAGGTTGCATATTTGATTCCCAGTCAGGGCACATACCTGGGTTGAGGGTTTGATTCCTGGTTGAGGAGCATATGGAAGGCTCACGGTGTTTCTCTCACATTGATCCCCCCCCCCCCCCCCCCCCCTTCCTCTCTCTAAGCATCTCCTTGGATGAGGATTAAAAAATGTATATATTTTGATTTTTAGAAATAATTATAACATAACTATTGATTATCAGTATTTTACACAGCAGCATATATAAGTGGATTTGACTGTGATTTAATCAGAATCTGTAATGTAAATGAATTAGATTTTCAGGTCTTTAATAATGAGATGTCTACTGTGTTTGTCTCTATTCTTCTGCACAAAATTACATTTATCTTAGTATGATTGGTAAAAGGTGTTTTAATACTAAAACATGCATTCATCCTCAGCAGTACTGAGAGTAGATGAAATGCATTGCTTTAAGTACACATTACTAAATGTCTTTAATCTGATTACTTCTTAAAGCTTGTCTTTCATCATGCAGTTAATAGTTATTGAATATATTGTATTACAGTGTAAAGGTATTCCACAGAGCAGTGCCATCCAATAAAAATATGTATTATAGCCCTAGCCAGTTTGGCTCAGTGAATAGAGTGTCAGCCTATGGACCGAAGGGCTCTGGTTCGATTCCAATCAAGGGCTCGTACCTCGGTTGCAAATTCCTCACTGGCCTGCACCATGCTAGTGGGGAGGGGGGAAGGTGTGCAGGAGGCAACCAATCGATGTGTTTCTCTTACATCGATATTCCTCTGTCTTTCCCTCTGATATACACACATATATACACACACATACACACATACACACACATTATGTATTACATATGTAATTTTAAATGTTCTAGCAGCCACATTGAAAAACTAAAAAGAAACAGTGTATCTTAGATTTACAGCATATCTCAGTTCAGATAAACCACACTTCAAGTGCTCAGTAGCCACAGGTGGCCAGTGGCTACTGGATTAGACAATACAACTATGGAGTATAGTTCATAGTCTTTGTCCAGAAAGTGAATTATTGTCTTTGGACACAGCCAAGAATAGTATTCATTTTTAGATGGACACCAAAGTTTGGTGAAACCTAAGATATTAAAATATATCTATTAACAGTATTTATGTTTTATACTTATATAAAAAGGTTAGGTAAATACAGGTATCCCCCAGAAAATATGTATACTCTTCAACAGCTGATAGCCCAATTTTGAAAATGAAATGTATTTTAATAAACACTACTTTTGTAATTATTCAAAGTGTGTATATACATTTTTTTGAACACCCTAAAGTTATACTCTTACATATATATGTTTTAACATATCTTTATTGATTTCAGAGAGGAAGGGAGAGGGAAAGAGAGATAGAAACATCAGTGATGAGCGAGAATCATTGATTGGCTGCCTCCTGCATGTCCCCTACTGGGGATCAAGCCCGCAACCCAGGCATGTGCCCTTGGCTGGAATCGAACCTGGGATCGGTCAGTCTGCAGGCTGACGCTCTATCCACTGAGCCAAACCAGCTAGGGCTACTCTTACATATTGACATAACCTTTGGGAGGGCATTTTGACTCAGTTTTTAATTTTAAATATGTATAGTTTTCACTTCATCAGCAGTTTCACAATTTACCCCACAGAAATATGTGAACAAACATAGAATAATTTGTATAACTATCTGGAGTAATATTTAAGGGAGTAACATTTAGTACATTGCTAAGGGCACAGTGTATCTCCGTTTGGGGGCTGAGATATAAATGGATCCGTGTGAACTGCTGTCATTTACAAGGTGCTGTTACCAGACTTTTCTCCTGGGGAGGAAAAAGGGTTCTGTAGCTGTGAGTGTTACATGCCTATCTTTGTCCCCTACTCAGCTCTGGAGCCAAATGTTCCGAGTTTGTTAGCTCATAGAATGTGCTTCCTTTTCTAGTTTAATAGTTACTAATGTTGCTGCCTGTTTCCTGCTTTATTTAGGTTTCATGTCCTTAGCAAGCTACTGAGCTTCATGGCACCTATTGACGATACCACAATGAATGATGACGCCAGGTGAGTAATAGATTAATTATGTGTCTCAAATGGCTTCATGACAGCCTTATATTGACCTGTTCTACAGCCCGTCACCCTCTCCATTTCTTCTTATCAGTTAACCATTTGTCATTGGCATCATAGCAAGGGTACTTGTCACATCTCTTCACTCGCATAATTACTGTAAAACCAAAACAAAATTTCCATACATCCCAATGTTGCCTCTGGTGGATTTTTGTTTGATTTTGCTGTTTTGTTTTGTTTTTAACTTTAGCCACCTGCCCAGTACACCTGAGCTCTTGTCTAGGACAGACAGGTCAGGACAGCACCTGCACTTGATTTATGTTCAGGGGTTTTGTGCATATGCTGTCCTTTTAAAAATGGCAGTAGAGATGTGCATTATGTTGTGTGTGTTCAGGCTGCTGTTGAGGATTGTTGTGTGTGGTTTTTTTAAAAGTATTTTTATGAAAGAAGTACATGCTCACTTTATAAAGCTGAAAAAAAATAGAAATGTATACTTATAATATTAGAGTTCACAGATAACCATTTTAAAAATAATTCCTTCTATATTTATTAGCTGGCAATCCTATGTAATAAAAGGCTAATATGCAAATTGACCAAATGGTGGAACGACCAGTTGCTATGACATGCACTGACCACCAGGGGGGCAGACACTAAACGCAGGAGCTGCCCTGGTGGTCTCAGTGAGCTCCCACATCGGGAGTGCTGCTCAGCCAGAAGCCAGGCTCACGGCTGGCAAGCACAATGGTGGTGGTGTTGGGAGCCTCTCGGGGGCGCAGGCCGGGGGGGGGACCACCCCCCCCCCCAGTGCACAAATTTCGTGCACCAGGCCTCTAGTCTATATAATAAACGCCTAAGCGACCGACCATTATGGCGGAACGACCAGAATGACCGGTCACTATGATGCGCACTGATCACCAGGGGGCAGACATTCAACGCAAGAGCTTCCTCCTGGTTGCTCAGCCAGAAGCCAGGCTCACAGCAGCACTAAGGAGCAGTGAGCTGAGTAGTAAGGAGCGAGCAGGCAGGCAGTAAGGAGCAAGAGATCCTGGATTTTGAGAGGGATGTCTGCTTGGTGGCTTAGGCCCGAACTCCCTAAGCCAGCAGGCAGACATCCCCCGAGGGGTCCCAGTCTGCAAGAGGGCACAGGCTGGGCTGAGGGGACCCCCTCCCAATGCACGAATTTCGTGCACTAGGCCTCTAATCTATTATAATGTAATACTTTTTTAAGATTGCTTATTTCTCTACCATTCATTTTTATCAGTATGGACTCATACTTTCCTGTTTTATTTAGTGAATTATAATCTATTGGTGTCATTGTTTATTTTGATTTTAAATTGTCCCATATTAATGGAAGCCCCTTTAAGCTGGCTTGTGTCCTTTTGAGATGTTCCTAGTTATTCTTTGAGCACTTCCTTACCATCTGGCACAAAAAAGTTATTCTAGGCTCATCTTATACTTTCCCTGTCCTAGCTCTGGAATCAGTCTTTCTCCAAGGAGCCCTGATTCTTTTCAGTTGATTGTGGTATTTAGAAACCAAAATCTGGGTGCCAGGGGTGCTCATTGTCACTGGGCTCTTTGAACATTCAGAACTAGGAAGTGTGTGTATACATGCACGGGAGATAACCACTTTTAACATTTCAGAATATTTTCTTTTAGTCTTTTGAGTTAATTTGCTTTTTGTATGTTCTTGTTTTTCTTTTTTACATAATTAAAATTATATTCCATTACTATGAATTTTTTCTTTAAATACTTTGTATGCTGTGAACATTATACCATTAAAATCATTCAAAAATTTGTAATGACTATATATACTTTTAAATATTATTTATTTAGCCATTCACTAATTATTGGGCATGTAAATTATTTTTAATTATAATTGTTGTAAATAATGCTGTGGTTGACATTTTTAAACATAAATCTTTACCAAATGAACTGATTGTTTATAATGTGGCACATGTGGGTTTTGCCAGCTTTATACCTCAAAGTACATTTAACCCTTTTATCTGCATATATTTAGTTTGCTACTAAATCCTATCAGGTTCCCCTCCTCCCCCTTGCCTGTAAAGTAGTAGAACTGCAAGTTTAGGTGAGCACTGTGATTATTAATTTTTTGTTTGCTTTGTTCAATGCTTTGAGTGTAAAACAGCTTGTGGGTAGTTCTGAATATGTTTATACTCAGAACTTTGTGACCTCTTATTTTCTCTTGTGCTTTGAAAGTGAAGGCCTCTGTATGGCTGTTTTTGTTTTTCCTCATTCGTTTTTTAAGACAGCATTAAACGAGTATAGTTTGCACCCCTCCCTGTGTTACCAAATTTCCCTTTGGGGCTTTTCTTTCTAGATAAACTATGGATACTGCTTTAAATGCCTTTATGTGCCTTCAGGTCTCCTTTGTTAGTTAATCTCATATAATTCCTGGGCCGGTAGATCTTTATTCCATTAAGAGGTAGGCAGTTGGCTTCTCTTGCAGGTCTGAGACGCATTCTCAGTATTGAGAGAAAAAAGAAATCCCACTTTGCCCACGTACTACGTGTTTGCATGTGAGGAAAGATATTACCGTGAGCCTAAAAATGGTCACTGGCTTTGCTAAACTCTTGGGTACCCTTGGCTTTGCTAAACTCTTGGGTACCCTTGGCAAGGGACAGCTCAGCTCCCAGAGCAGCTACTGTTTGTCCTTCAGACTCATTTTACTAAGAGGCCAAAATATCACGGGATGTTGGAGAGACAGTTATCAGTGGGCTAAGGAGGAGAAGAGGCTTGCCATCTCATTGGTAGAGAATTCCCCTAAGCACATTGTTACCACCAAGAACAGGTCAGAATGTCACTTGCAGGATGTACACGAGTGCTGTTCACTTCTGTGACTATTAAGGGGCCCAAAGCTTATCAAGGACATTTCAGAAGCAGCTTACTTTACATGGTGTGAACCCCCTGGTGCTATCAAACCAGAGGGAGTATGAAGTAAAATTCAGATGATCTCTTTTTATAGTTTTAACGAAATGAAGAATTTGGAGGTTGTGGGAAAAAATCACCTGTTTTTGAAAGCCTCTCTGAGGCAGACTTGTAATTCTTCCTCATTTGTTGTGTTGATAGAAATCAGATAGTAAAATGTTAGTGTGGCAAGTAGGAGAAGCACATTCTGAGTAAGACCTCAGAGATAGGTCAAAAGTGGCCACAGCCTCAGGGAAAGGGAACCGTGCAAACTGCTTGCTCTATTGGCATGGGGAGTTTTGCTGTCAGCGTGGAACAGTCAGCTTGATATATGCCAAGGAAAATATGTGTTTGCCTTGCGTAGCTGCTACTTCAAGAGGGTCCTGATTTTGGTATGGACCCTTAGAGCTCTAAGAAGCTTTTTTTTTTCTTATTACAGAAATGATACCAATATTAACATTTTGTAGGTACTTCATTCCTTAAAGAAATTGTCAATAGGAATAGTAAGAATTTCTATGCCCCTTAAATTCTCCCCCCCCAAATAAAAAAACACTTTTTCCACTCCTTTCATAAAGGTACTGGCATTTAAAAAAGGAACCGAGAGAGGATGCTTTAATGACAACTACTAAGCACCAAATACATTATCATTCTACATCTGGAGTTTTATAGAAAAGAAATGCACAAATGTGATCCAGCCTTGTAAAGTGCTTTGTCAGTATCACTGTTGGTGAGGGTTTGTATAGGCGATTTATCTTTGGTTTGCCACTTTTGTGTGTGGGTCTGTACCCTAATTGTTGGGGACATTCTACCACTACTGAATAGATTCTTTTCCCCCTACTTGGTAACCCAGAGGTTACTTAAACCATTTGTGATTCCCCTGTTGCTAACTTTATCCCTTTATGTAATAGAAATAGGCACTGAATCATGGGGCAGTTTGCCCAGCATTTGAAAACACAACAGCTAATAACCCCAGAAATACCCTCCACAGAGTACCTTTCGTTGGTTAAAAACTTACAAGCAAGAACAGTTAAGATACAGATGTTTTCTCTGAAGCTTTTTATCTCCTAGAAAGACACAGGTTGTTCTGACAGGTGAAACAAGTCCAGGCGAATATGCAACATTGATCTTATCGGTGTGAACGAGAGCAATATTTTCTCTGTTGCTGCCTTCCACAGCATCATTAAAGGCTCCCATCACTCTTTTATTAGAGGTTCCCTCTCTTCCTTATCAGATTACAGAATGAACATAACTCATGGCAGTGATTTGATCTTTATGCTCATAAAGAGGATTACAGCTTTGCATTAACTCGGATTGACACAGTTTATAATTCCCGTGTTGATGCTCTGGATGGCGGTGGCACATGTTTGAGCCCCCAGCAGTGCTGAGGGGAAGGGACCCCATACATCATCATTAAAGAGGGCGTCCAGCACAGAGATAGGAGGCACGGACCTTCCTCCTCATAACATCAGAAAGGACAAAGGAAATATTCTCAAGTTCAAGCTCATCGCTTGGGCCAGAGTTCTAAACCTGGGTTGAAAAGAAAACACCACTATTGTTTCCTCTATTTTTCCTGATTGCTGCTTGTTCAGTGTTACACAATTCTAGAGAATTTGCATTCTCAGATTGAAGCCTTGGTTCCAAACAGGATGTAGAGTGATAAAAAGTACATCTTCTAGAAAGAAATTGTAAATGCTGAACAGATCAATCTTTCCTCAAAACGGGGATTCTTGACGGTAGTTTTCATTCCTGCAGTCACATGCCCATCACTTCTTCAGAGGATTATGAATCCTTTTTATTCCCCAAAGAGTATCTTACATTCTTTAGAGTGAGTGTAAATGTTTCTCCTAAGGACTTACTGTTTTTAAGTTTTTGTATTTTATTATTATTTTATTCTACTTAAAATATAATATCATGTAGATATTATATTGTGGGTAGGCAGGAGCCAGATGTCTTTTCTGTTAATTTACATTGGGCATTTATACAGCTTAATACATTTTCCACAATGATCATTGAGCCAGCATTAGATTGCTAAGATATGTAGACCATTTCTGTTTTTAAGTGCCTTCATCCTT